TGACTTCACTCTTTAGGATGTCTGGCTCAAGGTCAGTGACCACACCAGCATGGACATCAGGCACATTAAGATCTTTCTTGTATAGTTCTTCTGTGTATTCTTGTGTATTCTGTGTATGCTTTTTAACATACATTTGATTCAGCATTTAAACTACATTTTTTAAAATAATTTTATTGACGTTTTTAATAAACATAGTAAAAACTAATACAAACTAAACTAGAAGGAAAAAGAAAAATAAAAGTTCAGAAGGTGCAGAAAAAAGGAAAGGAAAAGGCGAAGAAAAAAGTAGAAGAGAAAAGAAAAAGGCAATAATAAAGAAGTGGCTTCCAACCTTCATCACACCAAGCATAAGCTAATATAGTAACTTTTCACACTCTTTTAAAATTACAATTTTTTTTAAAAAAACCTCTTCTTCCCACAGCCTAACTTTTATCTATGTGCAATCCAGAAATTGTCATCTTTTCACTCCTGGTTTAGCAAAAAAATCCATTAGGAGTTACCAGAAATAGCAGACAAATAGTTTATCCCTGATCAAATAGTCCAACTTTATATTCCTTCTTTTTGCTCTTCACAATGAAATAGCAGACAAATAGTTTATCCCTGATCAAATAGTCCAACTTTATATTCCTTCTTTTTGCTCTTCACAATCTTAACTTTTAAATCATTCCAATGGCATTGCAGGATTTGATCTTTCATCAATCTTGTGCATTCAAGAGGAGTCTTCAAAGCTTTCACCAGCCTACTTTGTGAATCCCATAAAAAGGCATCATCCAGAATTTCTTGTCACAGCTGTTCCATGTCCAGATCCTTTTCTTGATTTGTCTTTTGTATTCCCATTTTGTTAATCAAAATGTTGTTGTTTTCTATGCCTTCAAACTCTATAATGTCTATGTCAGGTAAAAGTTCTTTAAAGTTTTTCTCATTATCTTCTAAAAATGTATCCATTGAAATCTGTATCCTTTCTGAGTTATTAGTTATTAATATCTCAGTCTAGTTATCGAAAAACCTTTTAAGATGAGAAAAAGTTATAGTCGGCTTAGCTATTTTAACTCTTTTCTGCCAGGTCCTTTAGTTCCCTCTAGTGTCCATTTGCAACCTTCATTGAGCCTTAGTTCCTAATATGGGTTTAGTTCCATTTCAGTTGTTTCCAACAAGTATATTATTTAATTATATACTTGTTTTTCAAAACTTACAGCAAAAATAACCAATATTCCAAATCTCTCTGGTCACCCAATCTGTTTAAAACTTTTTTAAATCAAATTCCTTTTTTTTTCTTTTTCTTTTCTTTTTCTTTTTGCTAATTATACGTTATTTTAAATTTTTAAGTCTTTGTTTAAAATTCCTTAAATCCAAAGAAGGTGGTAAAATGTTTCAGGTGTCAAATTAAACTCGCCGTATTGAAGGTCTCTAATATCCATAAAGTGGTTAAACTGAATATTTCCAAATGTGATTAGAAAGTGAGTTTGGCTGACTTAGTGTCCTTATTAAAGGCTCCACTGCTGCTGAAAGTGAAGATGTCATCTCCCTCAGCTCCTAGTGCTTAAACCTGCAGGAGACCACTGTTTTATAGTCCCCTCATGAGGAGCTGACATTCAGAGCATTCATGGGTGATCTGTTCTCTTCTTCCCTGGAGAGCTTTGAAGGACCGGTCTACTCACCGGTCTTTTGTTCTTCACAGTGGTTATCATCTGTGCCCTGCTTTTTAACTTACATTTGATTCAGCATTTAAACTATACTGTTTTAACTCTTCACATTTCAAAACTGTGGTAAAACTTACTTATTCTGTACATTTTGCTTTACAATAAGCTTAATACTTTAGTCCATATTCATGTTTAGGTATTTTATATATAAAAGTGCTAGACGATCATTAATACATTTTGTTGAAAGATACTTTAGGCTTTCCCATGATTCTAAGGATAATATTTTTGGAAGTGATTAATACTTTGCAATCAGTATTAAAACATGAATTTCTACTTTTGCTCTAGGGAAAAAAACCTGAACCTTTTTCTCCAAATAGTGCTATGACTCATACCTTTTAAATATTGCTCTACAAAATGTATGGATTCAAAGTAAACATTAAAAATGGGATTTTGTTTCAATTTTTATGAAATTTACAATGCTTCACTACTTCAACAACTAATACATGGTTAAAGAGGTTCAATTTAAACAAAAGAAAGGAAGTCCTAATTGTACAATATTAAGTCCAGATAGATATTCAGTTGATATTAAATTCTCTGTGACTTTTCTGACCAACTTACATTTCTTAGATTGCATAATCATACATAGCAGAGAGGTATTTAAAATATTTTGCACATAACTGACATTTTTCTAACCAACCCCAATTAAAAAAAATCAAGTCCAATAAGCAATGGCAGGAAGGCTTTGACTTTCTCAAAATTGACTAGAATCAGCTTCAAATAATGTCACTCCAGAAACAAAGGTATTCCCAGATACAAAATATAACACCATATATCATATGAATAAATAATACAGCACTCCATATCATACATTAATAGTTTATACTCAATGGACACTTGGAAATGATCAAGGAGAAACCAATATATTATGCAATGCATACCTAGTATTGCTATCAGCTCGCTTAATGGAAATTCCAGACGCAAGCATTACATTTGAAATTAAGGCCTTTCAGATGTACAAACTTTACTTCCATTGAAGGGAGGAATGTAATTTGAGAAAATGATCATTTATTCATTCACAGAAAATAGCTTGTATGCCAATAATGTTTCCAAAACACTGAGGCACGCTCCTACTAGACTTACTATTACACAAAATAAAGCATACCTAAATCCAATAGTCCTGAAAACTACTAGCATATTTTTAAAAGTTCAGATATTCATATTCTCATGTTTCACCATACTCAGCAAACTCTACAACAATCTTATAGATATTTCCATTTTATCATCATCCCCATGGATTGCATTCATGAATCACAGATATTTTAGGTTTTGCATCTTAACTTACGGTCTGTAATTATTGCATCAAACTGCACTCCCTTCCTCCATATGGGTTTTGATGCATCAGAAACAAATATGTCAAGGTAGTACTTCTCCAAACCATACTGGCGAAGGTTGGCTCTGATATTTTCATCAGGTCCTCTCCACTTTTGATTCTTTCTACTAGCTTTGCCTTAGAGCAATGAAGAGGAAAAAAACCAATTTCATTTCATGTGGGATTAAAATAATCCCCAATGTTTCCTTTGTTACTGAAATTCATTTACATTTCATTCAACTAAATAACATTTAGTAAGAATATTTCTCTGCACCTTAAACTGATCACAAGTGAATGCCAATTATGGTCCCATCTAATTCATAATAAAATGGTCACAACTGTTCAGTAAATACTAGAAAAAAACAAAGACCTGCACAGTACTATTTTCTACAGATAGTCCTCGGTTTACATCCATTCATTCAGCGACCATTTAAATTTATGATGGCGCTGAACAAGGCAGACTTATGACCGGTCCTCAGAGTTCCAATCATCACAGCATCCCCACAGTCACATGATCGTGATCCGGTCACTCAGTGCCCAGCTTGCAGTTACGACATCGCAGTGAGCTGCAGTCACATGAGCACAATTTCTGACATTCCCTGCTGGCTTCCTATACGCAAAGTCAATGGGGAAGCTGGTAGGAAGTCAGAAGCTGCGGTCACATGAGGTCCTTGCTTAACAACCTGCACAGTCCTCACTTAATATTGGCAACTGTGACTGCTGGAACTGTCGTCACTAATTGTGTATGGAGACAACATAACACATCAGGCAGAAAGTATATGTCTTTCTTAGCACAATATGTCAGAATCACACAAAAAGGAAATTCTACAACATACACACATCGCTTAGGGCAGTGTGCAGAGAAATCATGAATAATTAATTTTCTTTTACTATATCTTATGAGAAAAACTCATTATTGCTGCTGGAAAAGGCAACAAATGAGGACTACGCAAATCAACACATTATAAGAAAATCAACCCACCACTTTGAAATTATGGCTGGGATTTTATGCATACCCAACATGCTCTTTGACAGTCACCCATCATTTCACTTTGCCGAAACAGTCACTTAAATTCCAATATGACTGAAAAATTAAACTGAAGAAAGGCAGTTCTCTCACTGGAACGATCAGGATTAAATTTCAACTGTATTTTCTTTTGACAGTAAAACTGTCTGTCGATCATGGCTCACTATAAGAAAGACTATGTGGGGCTGGTGAGTAAATGCTACTGCCTCTGATAAATTTCCTGGGTCCAGGAACTAACTAAAATTGCTACCACAGCTTACATAATTATTTAATTTGTACTAGTAAATAATGAGAAGGACATACCCAACCCATGTACTATGTTATAATCTATATCTGTGCCACAAACATATGCTCCAAAGTGTGCAGAAGCTATAAGAAGTCCACCTGCAAGCCAAAGAAAAGAAACAAAATATGCTTTTTACAATTCACCAAATATTCCAGAACAGGGTGGAGCATGATTTCATAAAAATATTCCCAACATACTTGGAGTGCCTGAATTTTTTGTCTTCTTTGTGTGGCACAGACTAGGCTACTGTTGTCATCACAGAGAAACAATGATCTTCTGACAACTGTTTTAAGCAATCCTCAGACCATGAATATTTATCTCTTCTGCCAGAAGTCTTATTTCCTCTCACTAGTGCAAATTAGTTTAAATATTAATATTTAAATGGTCTTTATAGCAAAATTAGTCTATTACTATTTGGTGTGTATCTCATTTTGAACCAATTTATCTCGTACAAAACATGCTGGTACATGTGACACAAGCACCCTCTACCGTTTTGTTCGAGAAAAACAACTAACTGAGGGATGATAATGTCTAAAATCACCTAAGTAGCAGCATTGTTTATACAACACAGCAAATTTCTAAAAGAAACTGGTGTATGATTAACTGCAGGATAAAATCTGAAAATTTTTCCAGAGCAAATGATACACGGGTAGCTTCCTTGGCCATACAAATCCTGAGGGGATATTTTTCTTATACCTCAGTGCAATGCATAAATAGCAGGGAAAAGAAAGATGCAATGCCATACAATTACAGACTGTAAAGGAATCTAAAAATGACCTTGGGGAAGGTATGAAAGAGCTATTAAAGGAGGGAAGGAAGACACAAGCTATTAAGGAGGGACTTGGAGAAGCAATTACACAGTCCAGAAATTGAAGCGTGAGAAAGAAACTCAAAATGACCCTGCTTTAATTTTCTTTAGTATAGGATGGGCAGAGAGAAACTTGGAGAGGCTTTCAAGAATCAATTTTTATGCCCTACAACAACAGAGTAACATTTCTGGAATCCCAGCAGTGTCTGTTTCTTGAACTCGAAGGGCTGATATCAATCTTGAAAGCCTCTCCAAATTTTTTCTTTGTCCCATCTTATACTAAACAAAACCAAGGCAGGGTTGCCTTGAATATCTTTCTCGTGCTTGCTTCAATCTCTGGGCTGCGCAATCCCTTTTCCAAATCCCTCCTTAATGGCCCATTCCTTCATTCACCCGTTAACATCTTTTTCTTATGTTCCCCAAGGCCATCTCCAAATTCCTTTACACAAAGCCACCTGCTCCTGAGTCCTAAACTTCTCTATTCCTCCCCAGAACATTCTATAGACCAGTTTTCTTCAATCCAATTGAATGGGAATTCTGAGTGTCCACTGGAATGGACCATAATGGGGCGGGGGCATGGCTATAAGCTATCCTTGCTTTTTTTCTTCTGGATGAATCACTGCTGAGAATTTAGTCATCAAGCAGGTATTCTTGAACTAATTCCAGAGTATGTGACTAAAAATGCTAACACTGCACTGTCTCTTCAAAGCCAATGACTGCTGACATCAGTTGCAACAGGAACTGCATGAGTAAAACAACTGAGCTGAAGATTTTTTGGTAGCTGTAAATGGCTAAGCAGTAAACTGTCAGGTGGGACTGGTGTTGTTATAAAGAAGCCATAGAGCTAAACATGCTAGAGTTGTTATAAAGAAGACATGGACCTAGGAAACAAATCATACTTGGATTACTGAGTTGCATGATGTTGTATGATTACATCTGGGTAACATATACCACATCTGGGTAACTCTGTTTTCTAGCAGGGAGGGAAAACTGTGCCCAACACCCATCCCCAGTGTTGCTTAACTCCTACTCCCAATATCCTTCACCATTTCCATACTGGCTGGTGCTGCTGGGGAATTGTTGTTCAGTAACATCTGGAGCCCCAAAGGTTTGTACAAATAGCATATTCCCAAAAGCAAATTCTTCTAACTAAAAACTTGGGACAAGGCCAGATAAGAATAAATTTAGTGAAATAATAGCAAATATGAGCAGATTATAAATGTAAAACACTTCATTTCTTTTCCCTTGAAAAAGGCTGGAGGAGAAGAGAGAGAGAGGATACCTGTCCCCACAAAAGGATCAAACACAATATCGTTTGGTTTTACTTTTCCATGGTTTGCCATGATAAATGCCAAGCAGGAATGCATGCTTGTGTTCCCAATAAAATGTCTTTTTTTAACACTGTAGGATTCAATAAGGTCCCTTTGTCCGTTGGCAATCTATGAAATACATGGTTGGGGAGGCAGTGAGAGAAAAGGAACAAGAATGAATTATTTTGGCTACCAAGCACTTCTAAAACATACAAACTTTTTTTTTAAACATAGATGCATATGTTTTATCAGGTTAACATGTTGAATACATTAAAAAAGCAGCGCTCTTAATATGCCTTCCAGTCCAGAATATTATTTTTCTCTTAAAAACAATCAAGTCCAACTTCTATATTGAAAATTATAAAAGAGGGTGCATCTCTAAGTTTTAACAATTCTGATATAATTTTGTGTGAGTGCGCTTCGTCAGTTTTGCCTCCTGGTGACTCCCTGGACCAGTCCACACAGTTTTATTGGCAACATTTTCAGAAGTGGTTTGCCCTTGCCTTCGTCCTGGGCTACGAGAAAGTGACTGCCCAAAGTCACCAAGCAGGCTTCGTGCCTGACGCATGGTTTCTTGTCTGCTGCCACTACACTAAACCGGCTCTCTTGATAGAAATAAACTATATTAAATGATCCTGATGGGACAGACTTCCTTAAGAATACCAAAAATGGATCAAGGTCACTGTTTCAATGCTCTCAGCAACTACAAAAAGTGGTTTAGCCAATTATGACTGCATGTCCCTCCTTGCTCATAATGAATTTGGATGGCATTAAACCTTGGTTTGGAAATAATAAAGGGACACTGCATATATGTTTATTTTCTGCCTCAAAAGATCAGAGCATTTGAGGAAGTTCTGCCACCTTATGCTAAACTATTTCCACGTATCCATCCATTTTCTGCTCATACACACGTTGAACAAGTCACACCACACAACAGAGTGGGAC